CTTCGCATATATATATATATATATATATATATATATATATATATATATATATATATATATATATATATATATATATATATATATTCCGCAAGCTGGGTGGCGGTCCGCGACGTTCCTGTTAAATTCGTTGCCGGTCCGCCGAACCAAAAAGTTCGAGAAGCACTGATATAATGTACCTTATGCAAGAGGGTCATTGAGTTTAAACTCCCTAAAATTACATACTGAGATTAAAATATAAAATGTTAAAATGATAAAAACCAACTTGTCGTCTCTGAAGTACCGATCCCTGTTATCCCTGTTGCTCCCATACTTCTCCCGATAACCACCTGAAATGGTATAAATCAATTCAGTTATTTGTAACTTTCCATCATCATCACCATTATTCTCATCATCATCAAGCAACCATCAAAATCATTTTGCATAATTTTCAAATATAGACGAATCAGTAGTTCGCATTTGCATTAGAGTTCCGCAAAGCCTTGATTTGTCCATGGAATGTTCGCGCATATTTACGCTAACATTCAAATACACAAACAATTAAACTGGAAAATTTAAACTATGACATCACTAAACATTGTTCTGCTGTGAATTATATTTCCAGCACAAAACAACAACTCCCGATAGAAAATCTCTAGACCAACCTTTATTACCTCTATCAAAACTCCTGTCGTCCGACCTATCATTGTAGTTGCTCCTGTTGTTGTATCTGTTGCCTCTTTGTTGCTGCTCATTGTTTCTGTCGAATCTAATAGCAACATCAATTAGCCAATAAATATTTGCACCCAGGAGAATGTGGATATTTGAAAAATAATAAAATTATAATAGTAAGAATAAAGATAAAGAACAAATAAGCAAAAAGTCTGAGCTTTGATAGAAAATTATATTGTACAAGCTTCACTCAGCAAGTAATCAGTGTATTAAAAAATTATGAAAATAATAACAGCAAACAAAATCCCACCTGTCGTTGTCCCTGTCGTAATCATCTGTAGAAACGTAATTTAAATATTTTGTAATTCAAATCAGAATGAAAACTATTTAAAAATTATAATCTATATAAACTAATACAATGTCATTGTTATCTATATATAAAGCACTGATAAATATTCTCCAAGTTACTACAGAAAATTTAAAATAAATTATTATAATGTGGCCGTAAGCCCGATTGTATGAGCAATAAGAATAACAAGAATGTTTGTGATATGTCAAGTAGCAGCGGCTCTAAGAAACTCAACCTCTCAAGAATGAGTGTCTCTACATAGAGAAGTAACATGACAGATTTTTACATTTGATAAAACTTCCTGCCTTTGAAACCGGTAACTAAGCAGCTGCACGTTTTGAGGCGGACTAACAGCCTAGTGGTTACTGTCACCTGGTCCTGTTACGCATTGACCAGGATCGAAAATGACAAAAAAAATCCTCGCCTAGCACATGCTTTGTGTGTGATGCCTCATATTTATATACAGCTGTTTGTGCGCTGTTCGTTCCTTTGAACTTTCAAAGAATATAACTTTTTTTTGTACTAATCAGCAAATGTCATTATTCCTAGTTTTTGGTAGCATGGGTATATGAAGTGAACAGGTGAATGAAAAATAAAAATTGGAAGAAAGTTAAAATTATTCTGTCACGGAGAAACAGACCTCTCCTGTTCAATTGTTCGTTGGACAGTCTGTCAGCCTTCTTCCTCCAGTCACCAAGCGTCTTGTCATCTCCTTCGTCCTTGTTGCCACGGTGTTGCTGCTGCATGCCCTCTCTTCTTTCCTTGTCTGTCATTAACGGTTCAATTAAAAGGTCAAATCATGTCTACTTAGTATTTACATAAAATTTGATTTAATTCCAGCTAAACTTAAGATTAACGTCAAATAAAAAAAATTTTAACTTCGTAAATTAAATACCATTACTGCTAAATAATCAAAAAAGTTGGAGACCACACATCACCAAATAGAGGTTTATCAAACCATTGAATTGTGCTAATCAATGTTCACATATCATTGCTACAATTGTTAGTATAAGATTTTCCAAACAGTGGTTCAAGTGAATCATATGACTCAGTGGCATGGCCAGCAAGTTTCTGTATTTCTGTAGCAGAGGGACCCAGATTTTTTTTATAAAAAGTTGATGAACGTCATCTTACCTCGAAAATTTTTCAATTATTTTCATATTTTCAAAACTGATTCACCAAATGTTATTGCTACTCAAGCAGCAAACATTTAAAATGTAAACCCATTCAAGATTTTGACCGATTCAACCTCCAACCCAACTAAAATATTCACCATAGGGTACCACCTCTGGTCTACTACACATGTATTTTAATGCCTTTTAAAATTCAATTAGTGGATGACTAACAACAGAAGCTTAGTTTTGCTGTGGCAATAAAATCTGAAATATATGCTCAAAATAAGTAAAGGTTTTAACTTTTATTTTAATATTTCTACTGAAATGTCTATTTTTCAATACAAACAACAAAATAGATAAAGTAGATGACTTAAAGTATTCTATATTCAAAGGATCAACAACTTAGTCAAAATTGAGATGAAGCAACCAGAGAGGAGTTAGGTTCATATTTAAATATGTTTAATACTCCAGCAAAACAATTTTTCATGGTTGAACTTGTTTGAAGGAGAGCTCAAGGCCCGATGATGCTAATCAAAGACTTGATGAAACAAAATGGCCCATCTTATTGTACCGAAAAAAATTTTTTGCAGAAAAAATGTCCTTTTTGAATTCATTTTTTAACAGATAAATAAATTTTCAAGTATGTTTTTAAAAAATTTAAAGTAAAAAATTTTCTTAAACTGTAAATTTTGTCATCCTCAAAAAGAAAAAATTAAATATTTAAACATGATACCTTGTGAATGGCTTGCTAGGTCGACTTTGATGGCTCTGCTCTTTATATGCTGCAATAATAGAAAATTTAAGTAACCACTGAATTGAACTCAATTTTAAGAAATTATCATACTTCAACCACGCAACCAATCATCATCTATCAACCAATCATCATCTATCAACCAATCACCATCTATCAACTAATCATCACCCATCAACCATGCAACCAACCAAATCAGAGAAGGAGAGTGCTTCCAGGAGCATTTCCCTTGTTTGAAACTCCACGTGTCCGAAGCCTTTCATGCGACCCATGCCATCTGTCTGCAGGCGAATGTCTACAACCTACGATCATCATGTTTCGTATACTTCTATTAAAGATTACTTTTTACACATTATAGTACAGCTCAAGTACTTCAATTTTTTTTTATATAAAAATGATACATCAGTAAACATAAAGTAATTTTAAGAAGTTATAAAAATAATAAAAACTTCAGATTTGAAGCTTCTCCTAAATTTTCAATTTAAACGCTTAAATAATTAAACCTTGATTTTAAAAAAATAACCATGGCAATAATGCTAAACAAAAAAACATTTACGAACTGTTAAATTTTTGAAAAATTTTCTTATGTCCTCTGGCTGCACTTCAAATGGTAGGTTGCCGATGAAGACGTTGAATGGTGGCTCGTTTGGCACCTTTGATTCGTCAACATCAGCACATCGAGCAGCACGAGGAGCTGTTGGCAGAGCTGCTCTGTTGATCTGCAGTTTGTAATCTGGTTCTTCTGAAAAATAATTTTATTTGGATACTCTAGAAAACATTAATATAATTAAAATTCACTTAGAAAACATTTAAACCAATTCATCTCAAAAGCATTAAAATAGCTTGATCGGGAAAACATAAAATACACACACAATTTTCAAAAAATATAGAAGATGTAATTTTATTCTGGCAGGCGAATTAGCTCAGGTAGTGGAAGTGCCATGTCTCTCATTGTTATAACGTGCCTGGCTTTGGTGTTTGCATGTGGATGCAAAATATGCAAGCGTGATGTACTGTACACTGTGCCGTGTGAATGGTACAGGCCCTGTAGCACTATTTCTAGGCCAAAACAAAGGACCAGATTTATGTTGTTTTCTTCAAATCTCTTTCCATTTAAACTTGTTCACACTTAGTTTGAAACATTAACCAGAAAGAATAACATTCGGAGGATGTATAGTTGGTAAAAACTATCTGGAAAGTGTTCTTCTCTTTTCCGCATTGGCACAGATAGAAGTTATTGAATAAACCTGACAAGAATAAAACCGTAACCATTATCTTTTTCTGTCATTGTCATTAACACTGATGACTGTACTTTCTTTTACATATTATGTAGTAGGCTGCATGTTTATTCTGTGTATTGCTCGAAATGCAAAATTGTGTCTTGTCTGTTCAGCAAACCGAGCATGATTTCATTATTCTCAATTTCTTTTAAAACACAATGGGATTTTAAAATGCTATCAAAGATTTCACAGTTCTGACAGGGCAAGGCATGTGAGATTTGACTGTCAGACCACAAAAACTGTTCTATCTAATTTTACTCATCTCAAACTCTAACAACAGTATGAATTCCTAAATTTCAAAAAGCTATTTTTACAAAACTACCGTAAAACAGAAGTTTTTGGAAATTTAATAAATAACTTGCATTAAAAAAAAAATAAGTTTAACCATCAACATTCTGATCCTCCATCTCTTCAGCCCAACTGCTGTATGCTGGCTTTGAGACTACTGGGGCTGAAGTTGCACTTGTGCCAACAAACTCTTGCCATGACAGCTTCACTTGCGCCTTCTTCTTATTTTTCTTTCCGCCAGTCGTAGAATCTAGAGTTAAAAATTTAAAAATTAATTATGATCAATTAGAAACGCATTTATCGTACTTTTTCATATTTATAAAATATGTATTCAAAGAATGCATTGAGTGCTGTATTAACTTACGGCTCTGAGTCCTGGACAATTTCTAAAGAAATGGAAAAAAGATTAATGCTGCTGAAATGTGGTTTTTGAGAAGAATTATGAAAATTAGTTGGACCACTTATACTTTTTAAACAGTCCGGTTATGAAAGTAAGAAATTACTACAGATAATCCGATGGCGGCAGTTGTTTTTTGGTCACATCATGCGGAGGGGAAGAATGAAAAATCTAACAGCTATTGGAAAGATTCACAAACGAAAAACATTTGTGAAGTCCTTGTGTTGCTCGTTGAATATCAACACATTTCAACTTCTACAAAGTGTTAAAGATCGGGTTATGTGGAGGTCGATGTTCGCCAATGTCCTGAAAGGATGAGGCATGACAAAGAAAGAAAGCTGTATTCTTCATCCCTCATTATCTAAATTTTGCACGAGGCTATGCCCACTGTAAATACTACCACGATATCTTTTTTACTTCATCTGCTATGAATACTGCTGTGATATCTTTTTTACTTCGTCTGTGGTGAATACTGCTGGACACACTAGGAAAATTTACTAGGTCCGCAGTAAATAAATACCACAACATAATTTTTTTACTTAATTTTCCGAAGTTGGAGTCGTAGTCAGAATTATGTGAGGAGTCAGATATTTTTATCCAACTCAACACTATGTGCAAAAATATAATTAATTTGCTATTTGCTGAGTCTTTAGCTATTTTTCAACTGTTCAGTAGTGATATTTACTGTGGATGCAGATTTATCTATATTTACTGGTATTGTTATCTAAACTATAAGGTTAAATTCTGAAACTTCATAGTTTTCGGAAGAACAAAATGCATGGTAAATTAATCTGCCACAGTTGAAATGAGTAGCATAATTCCAGAAAACTGAAAAACAGTTTGCTCTGACAAGTGTGTCAGAATCGAGTAAAAATATCTGACTCTAACCCCTCAAAAAATTTCACTCCGTTCTATGCCCCCTCAAAAAAATCTGATTCCAAGTAAAAATTGCTGACTCAGGTTCCAAATTCCAAATTTTTTTTTCTTGATTTTTTTAGAGAATAAATATATCTGGAAATATGCAATCATTGGTTATTTACTAGAATTTTCCTGATTTTACACTATCCTTTACCCTAAGCTTTTAACTCTGGTGCTCGTTTAGTTGCTCGTGCTTCTTTCCTTTCGCATTAAATCAGGAATCTGGTTCCAATCTGAAATCAGGTTCCAAATTCATTTTTTGCATCACAATTTTACCTTATTATCTTTACTAAAGAAAAAATACATTAAAAACAATTAAAATTACTCAATTACTTTATTTTAATTTTTTTCAACATACTGAAAAAAATTATGAGATTTTATTCACATTTTTAGCATTTATTTTCAGTATTGAAAATGATTGCTTAGTGAATTTTGTAAACAGATGGGTTTTGAGATCTGTTCTGAACTTCACAAATGTCAAAGTAGTCAGGGGAGGTAGAGACCTCCAGAGAGAAGTGCCAAAGACAGCAAACACAGATTTAGCATAAGAGTGTTTAACATGAGTTAAAAAGAAATGAGAACAAGTAGACGATTGTAGACCGGAGCGTTTAGGTTTAATTAACATATCTGACCTCGGAAATAATTTAGAGGGAGACTTGCACAATGTGTAAATTTTAAAAATTATTCCTTATTTTTAGGTAGCTGGTGCAAAAGAAGAAAATATGGAGATATATGCGAAAGGAAAGAAGCACGAGAAACTAAACGAGCATCAGAGTTAAAAGCTTTACTTAGGGTAAAATCAGGAAAATTCTAGTAAATAACCAATGATTGCGTATTACCAGATATATTTATTCTCTAAAAAAAGTGAGAAAAAAAAATTTTTTATTAATAAATAGTATTTTTTAGAATTAAAGTCGAATAAAAAAATCTGACTCTGACTCTAGTCCCTAAAAAATCCAACTTCAACTCCAACCCCTTAAAAAATTCAATCTCTGACTATCAAAAATCTCTGGCTACAACTCTAACAGTCTAACTAACTCTAAGCAAGAATTACAATTGACCATTGTCCACGAAAGATGTGATTAACTTACCATAGACATACACTGCATGTCAAGCATAAACTAAACCGTATGTCACATGGTGAATGTCAATGGTATGTCATACACAGAGACAAACATTCACTGCACCTTTGAAAATTTTTTAACAGTTCAGCAGCAGTATAACCACAGATAGAGATTTATCGAATTCTATCCATTTTTTGTTCATACATTTTCAGGTTCAATCACATAAAGATAAACTTACATATGCTAGTCACCAATGGTTAACATTAAAAACGGTTAAATGGTTAAGTTAAACCTGTTAAACAGTTAAACTGACGTGAAAACAGAGAAGACTTTTAAAAAACACACATCAAATAATTTTTAATTCGAAACAAAAACAACAAAGTTTCTTAGTTATAGATAGACCAGCATCACAAGGTGAAAGAAAGAAACAGCTATGATGCAAAATTTTAGAGAATCATTGATTATTTCAACACACGACCGATTGCGATAAATAAACAAAAAGTTTATCGATGAATATTATAAAAAATATCATAAATTAAAACCGATAAAATGAAGAGAACATTTAAAAACTATATAATAGCATATTAAAAAAAACAGCACGACTAACTATTTACGGCCATGTTTTTTAATTTCCGGATGTGTCTAATGATTAAAAAAGAACTTAGATTTTAAAACGAACCTTGCTCTATTTAACACGTGACAAATTTATTTTTTAGCGACTTCATTTATAAGGGTCAGCTTTTACGATGCACATAGAAGATAAAACAACGAAATTTCAAAACCGCATATTTCAACATTTTACAAATTGTTGATTGAATAAAAGTATAACTTATATATGTTTTTGAATAAACCGTTAAATTACTTATAAGAATTAAATTATACTATTTGACCTGACGGTTAACCTCGCAGGGTTGGCGTAATCATACTGTATTTTAGTTTCTGTGAATGCCATCATTTCGATGTTCCTTGTTCTGTTATGATAAATACGTCCATTGAACGTCCATTGAATTACATATCGAAAGTGAATGAGGCGTCTGATCAGAACGTTCAGCTGGAAGTAATTACGTAATTACACAGTAGTTTTTATGAGGGGGCGTTGACCCTATTTTGAATGTTGGAGGCAATAATTCACTCTTGGATTAATTTTTTTTAGTTGATTTTGAATCTACTGTTTGATGGAGCAACCAAATAAATGTATGACTGTTTGAATGACAACCGCACAACACTACTTTGACTTAACATACACGTGAGGTTAAGCGCCGTCTACTCAATTGCGCTTCATTGCGGATTGAGGTAGTAATTTGTAGCGGTAGTAATTGTAGTAGTAGTAGTTGCAGCAGCAGTAGTAATGGTAGTAGTAATAGTAGTAGAAGTAGTAACAGGGGTAGTTGTAGTAGTAGTGATCTAGCAGTAGTAGTAATAATAGTAACATTGATATTAATTAATGATAATGGTTACATTATGTTTGTAAGAATAAAAGTAGTAGTGGTTGTAACAGTAGTAGCAGTAACAGTAGTGTAGTGTAGTGTAGATGAAATTATTCTCAGACAGGCTGCTTTCATACGAATCATAAATATTATTAATATTATTATCATTGTTATCATTATTATCATTTTGTTATTTCAAAATTGCTATTTTAAAATTTAACCTACCAATTTTTTTGCTGAAACATGTGGCACGTTGAAACAAAGAATCTACAAACGACAACACTAACATCAACCAATTAAAGAAAAATTTTAAAAATCTGAAAATTCTCCGTTGATTATTATATTAATGAGAGAAAAACCTTGAGCAAACTAATCAGATCAAAACTTCAACGCGTAAAGCTGGCTAAACCTAGCGGTCGATCAGATATTTCGATCAAACTACTTTTGGCAAACATGCAAGTAAACGTTTTTACCATCTACACAGTAGCGGACATGAGGGAGGGGCAGATGTGAGCATTATTTGTGTTAAAAGTTAGTAAAGAGTAATTGTTTTAATGAAAAAGTTGCGTAAGTAAAATTTTAACCCCATTACCGGAAAAGTTGCCCTCCCGTCAAATTGTTTGGCCCCCCGGTTAATTATTTCTTCCATCAACAAATTTTTTTATTAGAACTCCACCCTGGTCGCCATGTTTTTGAAATTAAAATGTTTTCCCCTCTCCCGGTTGTCAAATTTTTTTAAATCTTTCGAGGTCAACGAGTGGTTTGCAATGCCAATCAGCGGCTGTGTGGCACAGATTCTCTTGCTGCCAACAAAGTTTGGCGGCGATAATATTAGCATACCAAAAGATGTTGCTGAAAAAACAAAATTGAAAATTAGAACTTATTTTTTTAAACAAAATGGAACAACTTCGTCCTTTCACAAACCTGACAATTTGACAATTGTTATTTTTTCGGGCAACAAAACAGAAATTGTAAAATTGGCGACGTGCCATGAAACGAACATGTATCATCCAGACAATACAAACGCCAAATACGCAGTCTTATTTAAATAACGATTTAAATACGAAAGAACAAAAGCGCAAACCCCCAAGACTTCCATATTATTTTAAAATCATCAAATCCTGGAAAATTCATGTTCTCATATCTTCCAAATAGAAGCATCAAACACGAGTACGTGATAGCCGCTCGCAACGGTTTGAGATACAGAGGACAAATATTCGAAAACATCAATAGTTTAGTTAATTGGTTCAAATTACATTTCAATAACGGTGAATCCAGTAACTTTCCATGCTCACAATAACACCCACTCAACGGGATCTACTGGATATAATGCCCATCCCACGGGATCTGCCGGATACAGTGCCCACTCAACCAGATACACTGCACACAATGCCCAGTCAACACGATCTACTAGACACAATGTTCACTCAGCAAGATACACTGGATTTGACAACCGACGATACTGAAAGCATTGCTATTATGCATTTGCTAAGACGATTTTGATAGATGTAATGCTATGTATTGATAACTGGACGTTTGATACCTATATATGTTTTGTTTATTTATATATATATACATTTATTATATATAGATGTATTTGTGTGTGTGTGTGTATTTATTATATTTTTAAAAATGTGATAACAAGGTAAATGTTATTGAAGATAATTATAATAATAATGACAGTTATATGGCAATGGAAACCTATTTTATTTTCTTGAATCATCAAACAATCATCAAACAAAACGTAAAAAATAAAAGGAAGAATGTCTAAAAAAGAGTTATGAATAATTACAATTCTTCTTTTTTCTCGTACCTTTTAGGACGGCGACCATCGACCTCCACAAAACCCGATCTTTAACACTTTGTAGTAGTTGAAATGTGGTGATATTCAACAAGTGACACAAGGACTTCACGAATGTTATTCGTTGTTGACCGTGATCTCTTTTCCCTGCAATCTTTTCGTAGTTTAATACTATCGTTTTTGTTGGTTGCTTGGACGTTATCTTTTATGATTCTTTTCATGACTTTTTTATCCTGTTCGAAAGCGGTTGACATGTGATTTTTATAATATATTACTATGTTATTTTTGTTAATATTGTTGGTTGCATTGTTGTTGTTGCTGATTATTTGTTCTTTGCGTTCTATTATTAAATGACACATTTATTATTAATACTAAGGGAGGAGAGTGAATCGGATAGGGCGGTCGAGACTAGAATAAAAGTAGGATGGAAAAAATTCAGTGCTGTTTTAGGAGTATGCCATTGGGCCTGAAGAGTAAGGTATATAAAACATGTGTAAGAAGTTGCCTGTTGTATGGGTGCGAAACTTGGGCTATGACAGCAGAAAACGTAAAAAGGCTGGAAAAAACAAAAATGCATATTTTGAGAAGAATGAAGGGAGCATCTTTGAGAAATGGTCTAAGTAAGGAAGTAATAAAAAAAGGGTTAAGGATAGATGAGTTGTCAAATGTAATTAAAGGTATTAGACTGAGATTGCTCAGCCATGTAGAAAGGAAAACATATGAGGACTGGTTAAAGAAATGTAGCACTATTATAACTGGTGGTTTAAGAAAAAATTGCAGATCCAAGCTCACCTAGAAAGAATTGTTGTCAAAGGACATGAGGACATGGGACCTGAAACCAGAACTGACTCAGAATAGAGAAAAATAGAAAAGACGGTTAAATGCGCGTGATTATGCGAAAAGGCCAACCCGAGGTTTTTGTCACGGTTGAGCGCCTTTCAACGCGCATGACGCCCCTTGTATTTAACCAATTTTTAAATAGCAGCAAGTTATTAAAAGTAAGAAGCTGTCAGACTACGAATCTGTTGGCAATGAACTCCAGCAAATTCGTAAAAATGCTTTTAGGGTGGATATTTTGCATGCTTAAGAAACTCGTCAAAACACAGAAAACTTATTTAAATGATGTTTAAGATCCAACAAACTATGGATATATATCTTCGTTAGTCTTATCTAGGATTGATCATTGTAACTCGCTCTACTATGGTCTTCCTGATTCTATACTCTATGCTTTAAGTAAAGCTTTTAACTCTGCTGCTCGTCTGGTTGCTCGTGCTCCTTTTTTTTGTCATTAATCTCCATATCTTGTTTTCCTGCACTGGCTACCTATAAAATATAGAATAATTTTTAAAATTTGCACATTTATGTATAAGTCTCAATTCAAACTATTTCCTAAGTACTTATCAGATATATTAATTGAACCTAAACGCCTCGGTTTACGATCGTCTTCTTCTCGCTTCTTCTTAACTCGTGTTAAACACTCTTTTGCCAAATCTGCTTTTGCTTTTTCTGGTCCTTTTCTCTGGAACTTTCTTCCTACTTCTCGGTCACTTACGGTCTCAAAATTCATTGAGAAGCGCTGTTGAACATCGCGGAAATAGCACTTTACAAGCTAATTGATTGATTGATTGCATGCAACAAACAAGTTTCCATGGAGAGTTCTGAATAATTTTAAGGCTAACAATATTGACTAGTTTGAAAAATTATTTTTTGTAGTTCTCTTTTTTTAATGCATAAAATTGTAGTAAATTCTATCTATCTATCTATCTATCTATCTATCTATCTATCTATCTATCTATCTATCTATCTATCTATCTATCTATCTATCTATCTATCTATCTATCTATATCTATCTATCTATCCATCTCTCTCTCTTTGTGTGTTTTACGATGATGACAATGAAGTAGATATCAAAAAACAAACTGAAAAACGTCTTATCGTTAACAACATAGTTACACAATGCTGGGAGCGCTATTAGCCCATTTAAACAAAAATTTTTAAAAAAGGCTATCATTTATTGACCATGTTAATATTGATCACAGATATAATAGATAGATGAATTACACATTCGCATGTTTGTGAAAACATAAAATATATCTGTAACTGTTCAGAATGAACCTACTGGAACATCATACTTCACTGCAATCTATTAATTAGGATTTCACGCTATCATTATTATTGCCACAATCATTATAAAAATAGTCAGAAACTTGAAAGAATTTGAACTGTTAAATATTGGATTTTTACAAACTATACGCAAACAAGCTACAATTTAATAAGAATTATAACATACTAAAAACAGTTAAGGAGCAAACACAAACAAACAATTGTTTGAATGGTACATGCAAGCATACTTTATGCTTATAATTAGTTTGTCAATAACCAATTAATCACTTTCATCTTCTTCTTCCTCTTCATCATCATCATCTTTATCATCTTCTTCATCGTCATCATCTTCTTCCTTCTTTTTTCTTTTACTTGGAACTGCTGTCTTTGGTTTTTTAACATCTTCTCCTGACCTGTAAGCAGCTATTTCCTGTTTCATCAAAAATTTACATTACCATTGGGGAAAATTACACTTGACCATTACGCATAGGCATGTATCTCTAATAAGAACAATGAATGTTGTTGGCATTATAAAAATTAAGCAGTCAATGAACTGTTGCAAACCTTTTCATATCGAGCCTTGTCCTTCACAGCCATTGCATCATACTTACTCTTGTCCTCACACACTTCCCATTTTTTCCCAAGTTCCTTAGCCACCTCGCCAACTGTATATGATGGGTGTTGTGATTTGACCTTGCTGCGTTCTTCGTTGCAAAAGAAGAAGAATGCTGACCTATAATTTTTGAACAAGCCAAATGTTCAACATATTGAATCAGATTGAAAATGTTGTTTGACCATTTAAATTTGATAAATTATCAAAAGTTTCAAAGGACAGCTTACAAATTCCTCTTTGGAGCATTAGGATCCTTCTTCTTTTTTTTTCCTCCTCGAGCACCTTTGCCACCAGAAGAGTTGGCAGTTTCATTTTCAAAACGTGTTTTATCTCTACTGGCCATCTCTTCAAATTTCTTTTTCTCCTTTGCACTCATTGCCTGTTTGTTCAATCAGCATGCATACATTAGCTTAACATAAATAACATGATTACTGAACAGTCCAGTAGAAGTTACCATCACCAAGGAGGACCTAATTACAGTTTAACTTGCCTGTAAATCCCCAAAGATTGCTAGATATGATTTTAATTGATTGTATAAACATGAAAAATTGCAGGGGCTTCTGTTACATTTTATGTTAATAGCCATTATAACAGATTACTGAGGCACCTAACTTGAGATTAAACTAAATAAAGTAACATCTTTCTTATGCAGTAGTTCAAAATTTTTAATAAAAATAAATAGGTCCATAAACATAATTATCCCATATGTAAGCAATTGCATCAAAAACAACAAAAAATACCTTCCACTTTTCAGAACATTTCTTAGAAAACTCAGCAAAAACAACTTGTTCTCCCGGATGCTTCTTTTTGTGCTCTTCTCTACATGTCTGAACAAAAAATGCATAAGAAGACATTTTCCCCTTTGGCTTTCCCTCTGTCTTTCCCATGTTTGTTTTTTCTATTATCCTGGTATGTATTAAATAGCAATTTAATATATTTAAAAAATCTAGCAATTTTGAATTTAGTTTCAAAACAAATTACAAAAAACAGAATTAGCCAAATTCTAATTTATACTCATATACTGGCACACCATGATTTTATAATAAATTTAACAATGTTTTTTAAAAATTATTAAATTGTAAGATATAACAAAACAGGAATTCAGTGACACGCGTATTCAAAAATCAAACACAATCGATATAAAAATAAATGAAAAAATGATCATTTCACGAAATAGTACGCGAAATGAGGGGAACATCGGATATCGTGTGCCCGACAGAAATACATATGCGACGATAAGACCAGCAGGCGCTATTTACAGGCAGCGTTGTAATTGTATGAAATTAACGAAGTCATGATTGAAGAAAAAGCTTTTCGAAGTATTTGTAAAAAATTATCAAACCAACAAAATTTAGAAACAACCAACGTTAAATTGGATTAATTAACGATTTATTTTCTACGCTGAAAACAATATTTTCATAGCGTTGGGTTAGAAGAAGCGTTTTAAACTAAAGCACACTATTCATTCAATCAACGCTTTAACAAGCGAAGCCTACCAACCAATGCTAGTGAACAATGAGACCTTGATGACCGATTTTTAGCCATTTTCTGACTTGCAAACATAATAAAATATGATTTTTTTGGCGAATTTGATGGTAAAAATGAGATGAACTGAAATATTTGTAAGTTTGCAGACGACATCAACCAACAATACGAATACTTACGTTTTAATGCGAGCTCCTTGCAAAACACCAAAGTAAGCTGCATAGAATGATGCAATCTCATTGGTCCATGTCTTTATTTAGGTCAACTATGCAACCAATCAATTCGTTTGTGTCTATTTACATGCGCTACTTTATCATTTCATTTAAATTTTGTAGAGCTAGATAATTTTAGTTTTTAATTAAATTTTACTTTTAATTGAATATTTTAAGCAAAAATAATAAAAACAGAATAAGTTTTTTTCTCAATAAAATATCTCTGAAGCTAAATTTTGAAACGTAAACTTTCACAATATAATTACTCTATTTACCAGTTTTTAAAGATGATTTTTAATTACTAAACATTTAACATCTTATTCAACTGGTTTATAAAAAGCAGAATGATATCAAACCATTAGAGACGTGTGTTATATTAAGTGTAATTTAAATTACGTCCACTTTGAAGACGTTTATCATAATGAGACTGACAGTTGATATCAAACGTACAAAGATCGTCTGCGGAAGGATTTAATCATTATTTATGTCGTCTATTTAATTTACATTTACGGAATTAGACACTTACTAACTAAAACACTAAAGTCAGTTCGCTATAAGGGAAGGAATGCTTTACCGTTTCAAATTAAAAATAGGTAATTTTATGCATAGATTTAAAAAAATGGAATATTATAAGCAAAACACTTGAAAAAATGTGTCCACTTCCTGGCTTACTTACGTGGGCGTTTTAGAAATCCTACGCACTTGACCGCCTCAAGAAAAAGGTAGAAAGAAGAACCAGACGCAGCGTGCACAAATGAAAATGTTAACGCACAAAATGTGTATGCGGCGTGTGTTGTGTAACTTAACAACTGTGCATTTGCATACATACATACATTTGTGCATTTCGATCATTGCTTGCGGGTAGATAAGCAATGCTGCACGAAGCAAAAAGAAGAAAATAATGATATTGGGATGACAATGACGATGTTCCTATATAATATCGTGGCTGGTTTGTTGCCGTGGTTTAAAAAGTGACATTCTCTGTGAAGATGATATTAATTTAGGAAATGAATTATTTTTTAAATAAACAAATCATGACATACGTGCATTTGCAGTTTTGGCTGTACATCAAACAGTAGTGTACAGATGTAGACGCGTGTAATATACATGCATGCATCTATACCAACATGAATATATGAAATAGATGTAAATAAATAGATGCTGATAATATGCACACAAAAAACGTGCCAGTTCTTATTGTATTACCTCGTGCATTATATCTTTAAACAAATATTTGTAAAAGTACAAAAAATAAATCGAATAAGACTAATAAGAGAATTTTAAAAAATATAATGATATATCATGACAAAATAGGTTAAGCATTAGTTTATAAAATATGTTCTCATATATGTTTTGTTAAATATTTATCATCAAGTTGTTATTGGCATTCGTGACTGGACAGTTGTGACGTCTCCTGTGATCTGCCAACAATAACTATCAGAATTTGAATTGCTCGCAAACACCAACTTCCAACAAAACAACCACAACATCGTCAAAATACTGTCAACAACGTCAAACGTCACAAACGTCATCATAAATAATTGTAGGGAAGTTACCTGGAGGAACATTTCTATGCATGTGAATGGATTACATAGACAAATACGACATCGAGTTAGACAAGGAGCACTACAGAGCTGGCGAGATTATCAACGGAAGAGTAGCCCTGGAAACCAATGAAAGCATCAAAGTCACGTGTTAGCCGATAAGACTCCACGTTATTAAATTGTTTATAACTAAATAACAATTGAAAATATCAATGCTCAAGGCAAGTTTGTTAGCGTCATTTTACAGAAGATAGTTTTTGTTCTAATAAAATGAGCTTATCAACATATGGCCACTGTAAATCCATTATAATAAAGTTTAGATGGTCAAATTTTAGGCTTTTTGATACAAATTTTGTTCCTTGATATTAAACAGAAATTGTAATTTTTTACTCACAAACACACGCACGCACGCATTATACATACATACATACATTCAAATTTACCAAGCACTAAATGACTGGAAAGCCTGCCTTTAAGTGCTGGACAGGTGCATAGTTTTAAAATACTTGGCCCCATTCAATATGACATTATATAATATATTCATCGTTAGAATAGGACTATTATCTAAAATTATTTTGTTTTGTAAAATTTTTGATGCATAAAAACAAAAAAAAACCAAACACAAATGAAAACAATGCTATATATATATGTATATATATATACATATATATATATATATGTATATATATAGGCATCCAAGTGCACTTACGCGGTCGAGCGCACGTAGAATGGAGGGTAACGAGATGTGGGGAAAGAAGAACTGTCAAGGGAGATCAGTCGTTCATTGATGAGAAAGTCGTTGTCTGGGGTAGCCAAGGTATTTGTTGTTCTGGCTGTTTTTTATGTTATTAATTGTTATGTTTTAGTTTTGTATTAAATGTTTATCGTATTTTATATTGCAATAGTGAATTGTGTTTTCATGTCTGTTTGATGACAATACCGTGGTGTGTCGTTAAATATTATTTGCACAAAACTAGTTATAAAATGCCAGTGTTTATTTAAGGGAAACGTTGATTTATGTTTTCAGATTTAAGTCCAGAAGAATGCACCCCAACTCTTCTGCCTAAAGGTAATCACAGATTGCCATTTAAATTTCAGTTACCCAAGATTTCACTGCCTTGTTCTTTTGAAAGCAGAATTGGTAAAAATAAAATTAATTTCGTCACATTATTAAAATTTTTATAAACATTTTGTATATAATATTTGTTACACTTTGAAACAAAAATGAAATTTTTTTAATCTGTGACACACGGAACCTAGAAACAACAATTAATATAGCAAATTACGTTGACATTAATGATCTGTAGGTACAATAAGATATTATTTAAGAGTGGTCATCGACACACCATACGCTTCGCCTCCGCAAGGTCTCAAATACTTTAACGTGATTGGTCCATCGATTGATTGTTTGGATGACCAGTACACGGTTCGCTTGTCTAATTTTTTAAAAATCGTTGAATGCGTTTAGCATTGATTGTCATTTATCAACTGACAAATAATGCGGTTAATCAAGCCATCCATATTTTTTTTATTACTGATCAATAACAGACTCCATTGTACAGATCTCGACACCTGCAGACAAATTTCTTCCAATGTTGTAAAGCAGGCAGCATAAGCATCGAAGCCTGCCTGGAAAAACGAGCCTATTGCTGCCATGAGAAAATAAAATTGATGTGCGAAATTCAGAACGAAAGTGATAACGAACTCATTTTTTATTGCCAGCTTATTCAGGTTCATATTAATTTTTAATCAAATTTCGATTTGTTGTTAGCTTTATCAACGTCTGTTTTTAGCTGCAAACACTGCAATTCGAATGCAACTATAGGTCGTGCAGTTCCGTATTAATCGTTCCGAAATAGCGATAACAAAAGAAATTCGGCACTGCATATTGGAACATTCCAATCAGTTGATCAGTAGACGAACGTACGCCAGCTTGAGTGAGCTGTCTGAAGGCTTACAGCTGCCGGTTGTCCCACCAACGCTCACGAATGTTTGCAAAGTGACAGAAATTAACTACATTCTCAAAGTAACTAGCGTCTCTCATTTGTGCTGTCAATTTTTTTTTCAATTTTATTTCGGTTTTAATTTAGGTTAATAAATAAAAATTGTATCCCAAAATGTCAGATGGGACTGTGTGGGGACAGGTTGAGCGAAGAGATGACAGTTGAACTGCCGATCATTATTACGTCCGAGCCTTCGTCACATCGAACAATCAACAACGACATTCCTGTGTTAGACTACAGTGAGATTTGAGATTTATATTCAGCTATTGCTATAGTCCTATTAATCATTTTTGACAATGCGCGATAATTTATGATAATTTCTTCATTAAGAAGTACAAAAATATTTTATATTTTTATTTGTTGTCAAACTTAAAAGAGCCGGCGGATAACCACGTCGAGGGAGGGATCTATGTGAGTCCAGAATTTTTACTGGGCCAAGTTTACGATGGCGAGCACGAGGAAAGACAGACAGGCGAGACAAAAGATTCAATCATTCTCTTCAGACCCAGCTACGTTTGCATCGTCAAATCGTCGTTGTCGTTGACTGAGGACGAACAATCCGTAAAAACATGAAATTCAATTTAAACGCTGACTTCATAGCCTCACCATCTCAAATGATTAAAAGAATAAAATAGGAAAACCAGAGAGAAACACGTTGACTGTAACGGCAAGACTTTTGTACCGTTGAGAATAAAGTTTAGGATATCGCGTAAAACTTTCCATGTGATTTTTATACAAGCCATTGCTTATCGCGCCCGCCAGACCAATAAATTAAGAACATCTGTTTTTAGTGAACAACATTTTTATGTTTCTATGTATTTGATTCATGAACTGATCGAAATTGATAAATTACATTTGAATCATGATGTGGCTTTCCGTAATTATTTTCAACTTACGTCTGTCTAGTGCAAAGTGCTTTAACGTGTATTCGTTTGTTATTTTTGTTGATTTGTCAGTTAGCTCATATTTATTGCTCTAGCCTTTATATCAGATCATAATATTTTGACAACCTGGTGACAAATAATTTACTGTTTCTGATCACATTAAACACTTGGTCACAAGTTGTATCAGCTGTTAATTCGAGTAATAAATTATACACGTTCTCATCTATAGGTACATCCTAGAACCTACCAACACTATGAACCTTAAAAAAGCTTTTGTTTAGTCTCTGATAAATTTTTAAAAGTTTTGCGCGGTGGGGATAACAAATCTGCTTACAAGTTTGTAACGTGTACGTTAAATTATATGTTGTAAACTGAAAATAAAGCTGTAACGTGTTGTAGTTAATAATGGTCTTTGCCACAAGATTTGAAACTTCACCAGATTCGGCATCATTTTTGTAGTACATAAACTTAGTATTTTTAAGCTGTTTTGAACTGTTTAACAAGTAAATACTTTAACATTGAATAAAATTTTGATTTGGAACAGATAATTGATGGGATAAATTTAAACAATATAATTGAAGTAGTAAAGTGAATTGACAGATGCGCCTCAATTATTTGATACCAATTATGTGGTCCAATTTGACGAATTCAAGTTATCTACATTTTTAAATAAGATGAATTTGAGTTCATTTTTAAGTTTTAGACTTATATTAAAACTGTGACAGTTGTTGTTTAAATTATAATATAGCAGCATATAATATTACATACATGATGAGTGTGGCATTAAAAATGAGCTTAAAAATTACTTCCGTCAATATTCATGCTTAACTTCACCATTCAGTGCGGTGATGGCCCTCAAAAGAGACCTAGCAAAGCACTCTGTAGTCCAGTATATTATATTGTATTGTATGCATGTATGTATGTATATATTGTAGAATTTGTATAGCGCTTCCTATGAGTTTACTTCAGAAGCGCTCTCTTTATTTCCTTCGCTGCGATAAGTTGAACAAATAGTTCTTCAGACGTTTTTTGAAGTCACCTCGACTCACGATATTGAATATTTTCAAATTAACAGGCAACGCTAGTCGGATTTGTCAGAAACACAATACAGGGGTCGACTGCGATCATCCAACCATGGCGACTTGGTGATTCCAAAATTAATTGTTGATTAAGCGATGGGTTAATGAAAATGAAAACAAAGAAGTAATAAAAACTAGCATTGTAAATATTGACAAAGAAGAATATGATGCTATCGATGAAGAAAAGGAAACCAACGAAGATGGACCAGCCAATAAAGAAATCTGACACCTAATTTCCATCTAAGTTCATTTTCACAAAGTAAATATTTCCCTATATAAATCAACTTGCACTGATGATGATTCATTCGGAATCGAAATATGGCTTTATTTGCAGCATGAATTTGAAAAATTAGTTTATTTTGAATTTTAATAATAAACTAAACATTCTCCAAAAACTTCTGTGAGAAAAATCGAAAAAAACGCTCTACAAACATATTAACGCCAAACAATCGGAAGAATTTATAGAATATTGTAAAAGTTATGGTCTTTTACTAACATATATATATATATATATATATATATATATATATATATATATATATATATATATATATATAAAGAGAGAGAGAGGAGGGAAAGAAAGAGAGAGAGAGAGAGGAGAGAGAGAGAATAACGTGTATGTAAGCTACATGTATGTATATTGTATATTCTAAACCACTTTTGCAATTTTCTACAAATTAGTTGATTTGTTATTTAGTAGGAGAGGGTGGGATACGTTGAGACATGGGGTACAGCGAGACAAATCAAATAATTGTTAAGTGGTACATAATTTTTTCTTAAGAGTTAACCTAATCTTTACTTTGGTAAGACCGGTAGTTAACAATATAATTTTTTGCGACGAAAATCGTGAGTTGCGTTTTTTAATTCTGATTTTTGATTTTTTGACAGATTTCTAGACATGTTAATATTTGGTTTGAAATATAATTGTTAAATTATTTGTAATGATACTTTGATCACTCCTACATAAAGTTTGACGTTTCAACAAGGAATTAGTTCATAGAAGCCAAATTTTTATTCCAATTGGTTTTGGCACTACGTCGAATAATTATGTCAACGACTGTGTGGGGTAAATAGAGACAATCCAATGATGGGGCACAGTGAGACGTATGGGGTACCTTGAGACAATAACAAAACTGATGTTAAACATGATTTCTTAGTTAATAGAATATTTGTTAAATGATTATATTATTTTTATAATAATTGATTTGCAGACAAAAATGAGAAATAAGATAAGAAAAACCGGCAATGGCATGTTTTCGGAAGAAACCATGAGTCGTGCTGTAGGCGAAGTAATGGATGGTGGTTCTTTACAAAAGGTAGCTCATGTTCATGGCTTGTCATTTCAAACATTGGCCCGCTATGTCACAAAAGCATCAGCTGCGCATCTTGGAGAAATTGTCAAATTCAAACCAATTTTTGCAACTCGGCGAATATTTACAACAGAACAGGAAAAAAGTCTGGAAGAATATATCTTGACAAGTTCAAAAATGATGTATGAAATTTCAACAAAAGAGTGTAAAAAAAATTGCATATGAGATGGCTAAAATTAATGAAATTAGATTTCCAACAACATGGAAAACTGAAGAATGCGCAGGTTTAGAGTGGTTTAGGTTGTTCATGAAGCGGCATCCATCTCTTAGTATTAGAAGCTCTGAATCATGTAGTCTCTCACGGGCAACATCATTTAACCGGCACAACATTGGTCAATTTTATAAAAATTTAGAAAAGATTTTCCTGAAATCACCACAGTTGACAGATCCTTCTAGGATTTTTAATCTAGATGAAACAGCAACTAAAAATGTTCAAAAACGTTGTTCAAAAGTAGTTAGAGCAAAAGGGATGAAACAAGTTAACCAAGCTACAAGTGCAGAAAAAGGGAGTTTAGTAACCACTTGTTGTATAATTTGTGCTAATGGAACATTTCTTCCATCTGCGATGGTCTTTCCCCGAGTTCGATTTCAAAAGCGTATGCTGAAAGGTGGTCCGGTTGGGACGCTTGGATTGGCTTTATATACTTTATATATATATATATATATATATATATATATATATATATATATATATGGTTCCAAGTAGGTTTTTAAGTGTAAGATGTAAGTGCAAGTGTTCTCTTCTTCTTGTTCTCGCTTCTTAACTCGTGTTAAACATTCTACTTCTCCATCACTTACGAATTTCAGAGCGTATCTCAAGACCCATCTGTTTTAAAAATTCATTGAGGAGCGCTGTTGAACATCGCGGAAATAGCGCTTTACAAGCTAATTGATTGATTGATTGAATGATTGAATGAATGAATGATTGATTGATTGATTGATTGATTGATTGATTGATTGATTGATTGATTGATTGATTCATTCATTCATTCATTCATTCATTCATTCATTCATTCATTCATTCATTCATTCATTGAAGGTATTAATATATTCACATTGTTGAATTTTCTTCATTCATGTAGCGTAAGGGTATCGAAACAAAAATTAATTAGAATTAAAAAATATTTAACATCAGTTGAGCCAAGGTAAAAAAATAAAAGATTGATTAATTAGTTGAATGCATTAAATTGAATGATGCATAGTTATTGAAGACCATCACTCGACCTGAACACGAACAGTGAACATCAACCTGGAAGTGCCTGCGTCATAATTTTTCTATTTTAGCTGTTTAGGATCCTATTAAATTGAGAATCCATATATATATATATATATATATATATATATATATATATATATATATATATATAAATGAGTGAATATGTAGTGACGTTAATGTCGTTCTTGCTTCCGAGTAAAGTTTAAAATTGAGAAGAATGCGATTAGTGTGATTAGTTATAAAACATGGTATAAAATGGCACAGTCCCATCCAATGCGTTTAGATTTAGTTTTGATAATAACGATGATGATCATCATCCCTGTCATCATTATTGAGTTAATTTTTTGTTGACGAACCTGTATTTTAATTTTGTTTGTATTGTAATATATATGGGCGAATGTAAGAGTTAATAATAAGTAATAATCATAAATTAGATCGGTTAATTGGTTTGGAGATTTTTATGATTTCTTGGTTTTTTGTCGCTTCATTTTCGCTCATTTTTTATTGTGTACACAAATCAGGATAATTTTTAATTCAATGATGCTCGGGTCTTCTTTGGATAAAGATGTACGTTTAAAACTTTTGTTGTGGGAAGATAAAGACAATCCTCTAGTCGTGTTGACGAATCTACAAAAAGATAGCGTTTTTGATATGAGTTCTCAACTGTGTACCAACAAGATTTATCCAGAAACACTTCCTGTTGATGATCTGGCAATCCCTGCTTATGTTGATACATCGAAACTCGAAGCTAATTCACAAAATTTTTCTTTTTTAACAAAGTTTGCAAAATTGGAAAAAGAACTCGTTAAATCGAAATTCGGAGAGCTATTGCAGTATGCTACCATATTGTCAGAATGGATTGCTGAATGTAACAAATTTCTTGAAGAAGCTGATTCTAATCTTGAAATGTTGACAATTTTAAAAACTGACTTCATAAAAGTTGCAACCAAAACCAACTTACTACATGAAGCATGTGAAATACTTTTAGATGAACAAAGCAAGTGTGTACAAGCTGTTGAACTAATAAATGACCAGCTTGTTGTTTTTAAAGAGTGTGAAACAGTTCATCAAAAAATCAACTCTCCAACTTTCAATGTTCAGTCAGAGCATTTTTCATCAACTTTGTACAGAATTGATGAATGCATTGACTATTTGAAGGCACATGAGCACTTCAAAGAATCAACAGCCTATTTAGAAAAATTTCAAAACTATTTAGTTTGTTGCCTCAGGTTATTGAAAAATTATGTGTTTAATACTTTTGAAACAGTAACTCATCAAGTAATGAAATTGGATGTGGAAGATAATATTTCAGAAAATGCATTTGTTTTGTTATATGGTAAATTTCGAATGAAAGCTTCAAAAGTAAAAGGTTATATTGAAATGATCGAAAACAGGAAAGGGGACCGAGCTGAATATTTAGTGCTGTTGAATGAAGTACTTAATTTTTATATTAGTGTCAGATCTTCTCTCTTAATTCCAAGTGTATCTGCAGCAATTAAAGATATGTCAGAGAAGCATTCAAAAGATTTGTGCTATTTCATTCGCAGTGGTTGTATTTTATTGGTCCACATCTGTGAAGATGAGCACAACCTTTTCAACGACTTTTTCAGCTGCGATACTGACTTGCTCAATGAAATGCTCGAAAGTTTGTGCATGCTCCTCTATGATGCTCTCAGACCACTGATCATTCATGTGATCCACATGGAATCATTAACAGAAATTTGCAGCATATTTCAGGATGAATTAGTGGACAATCCTGGTCACACTCAAAATAAATTCAAGTCTTTTAAAAAAATATGCTCACAAATGCTGCAAGATGTCCAAGAGAGGCTAGTTTATCGAACAAATATTTATATTAAAAATGAAATTCTAAACTATGTTCCTTCGTCTGGTGATTTGGCTTATCCTGAAAAGCTTGACATGATTAAAGCAATAACTGAACAAAATTCAAAAGTGGTGGAAGATAAAGATAAATTTTCAAGTAATCAATTTGTATATGCGGATCATGCTTTGTGGTACCCAACAGTCAAAAGGTCCCTTACGGTACTGTCTAAATTACATAGGTCCGTAGATAAATCAATTTTTCATGGACTGTCTCAGGAAGTGCTTGCATGTTGTGTCCATTCCCTGATATTTGCCAAAAAATCCATTTCAACCAATAAGTCCAATTTAGATGGAGAATTATTTTTCATTAAACATTTACTGATTCTCAGAGAACAAATCATCCCATTTCAGTTGGATAATGTTGTCAAAGAGACTTCCATTGATTTCAGCAAGATAAAAGGTGCTGCCGTGGATCTTATAAAGTCAAGGTCAAATTTATTTGCGTTCAATAATAATAACGCTTTGTTGCAGTTTTTTTTTGAAGGCACACCATCATTTTACGAAACATTTTTTGACTGTAAAAAAGTTGTTGATGACAACCTCAAAAAGTCTTGTGAAGATTTTATAAAAATTGCAACAAGCATGTTGGTAGGAAATCTTCAAGAGTTCATGAACAAGATATCAATTATAAAAAATAAATTATCTTCTGGTGGATTGTCATTAAAAACTCAACCATTTGCAAGTCCTGAGAATGTAAAAAGTATTGTTACATCAGCTTATCGCATTTTAAAGCAAGATCGACTTCATATTCTCAAGTTAATGTCGCTTTATTTGTCAAACAGTGATACAGAGTATATTCTGTTTAAGCCCATAAAATCTAACATACTACAAGTTTACAACGAGTTTGGCACATTTTTGAAAGAGTACTATACTGAGGAAGATATGTTTTTAATTGCTGCACCGTCTATTGATCAAATAAACATTTTGATGAACAACAAAGTAGAGCCTTAGAAAAAAATATTCATGTATAAAACTTGAACATTTGGAAATTGTTTATTTTGTAACATTCCATTTACTCTTACTGTAATGTTATTTAATTTGAAAATGAGTTTTACTTTTGATGTTTTGATTAAGTTTGTAATAACAATAGTTTCTCGATTGCGTCTTATGAGAAGATGCGAGAAAAAATTTAAAAACGATCCAATTGAACGAAAGTTATGGGATAGCAGAACGAGAGAGGAGGATGCGGATTCGATATCTAAGAAAAAAGGTTAATGTCTTGAGGACCACTACAACTTTCTCTAACAGCGCACGAACGACAATTATGTTATAAATCCACCATATATTAATGGAGATTTAAGAAAATAAAAATATCCATAAATTGAACAAAGATAGCAAATTTTAGTTATAAATTTTACTTCAATGTTTTGAAAAAAAAAGTTAATTTAAGTTTAAGCGGTGAATAAAAAAATGTCGTTATCTGAAGAATACAGGCAGCAGATTCATGAAGCTTTCGACTTGTTTGATGTCGATAAGGATGGAGTCATCGATTACAACGAGTTCACTGTAAATTAGTTTTAAAAAAATTAAACACTTTTTGCTTACTTTTTTATTATTTTATTCTATTTTTTAAATTAAAAATTTACGATTTCTAATCAGTGTAATTGTAATAATGAAATGTGATCGTAATGTAAATTAGAAATCGTAAATTTTTAATTTAAGTTTTAAGGAAAAGTCAAGATGTAAAATTTAAATTATTTTTTCGAAAAATTTGGAATTTATTCATTCAATTAAAATAAATAATTAACGTTTTTAAAATTATTTCTATGTTGCTTGCACAGACTGCAATGATTGCATTGGGATTTGACATGAGCAAGAAAGACATTTCTGAGTTATTACAGAGCTATAAAACTGTCCCAGATGACATAACGTTTGATGTTTTCAATGATATAAGTAGGCATCATTGTTGGTTTTTATTCCCTTTTTGGCAGAAAGAATATTGTACAATTATTTTGCATGTGCATGCATTTTTCATTTATATTTGTTAGTTTTTTCAAAATATTTTCTATCATGGAATTGGTTCTGTTTTTTTCCAGTGACAGAACTGATGTTGAAACGAGATCCAGATGAAGAAATAATGAAAGCTTTCAAATTATTTGATGACGACAACTCTGGGAAGATCTCTTTCAAAAATCTTAAGCGAGTAGCTAGGTGCACGTTGTTTATAGTTATTAATTAATAATTTTTTATATTTTTCAATAATTTTTACAATTGCAACTATTGATCAGCAAAATAAATTAAAACAGCACTTCAGATTTTCAGTAAAAAATAATGATTACTGAAATATGTGATATCTTAGGCAAGCAGCTTAATGAATATTTTAATTAAACAATAAAAAATTAGGATTTCTTAGTCCGTTGATGAATTGATTTACAGTTTACCATTCTATAGAGATATTGTATACCGAAGCATGATGATCGTTCTAACTCTTGAAATGTACAACAATCTCCAGAGAGTTAGGTGAGAATATCTCCGACAGTGACTTGAAATCCATGATCAGCGAGTTTGACCACGACCAGGATGGTGAAAGTATGTAACAGTATATCATTGTTAAAGTTATTCATCAATAAAATAATTACGATTAACATGATGATCATATGATCACAATTTATTACTTTTTCAAAATCACTCACTTCTTGAGCAGAGAACACCATTTATTTACTTCACATTTCCCCACTAATAGTCAGTTTCATTAATTCAATTGATGACATTAAATTAACAATGCTTTAACTATTAATCCATCACCAAAAATAGTTGATGCCCAAGAGTTCCTAGCAATAATGAAAGGTGACAAATAGAGGAACCAGTACCAACAATAACATTTCTCATGTATGATATAACCCGAATGACACTAACACAACAAATGCACCAGCATGCATTCATTTTAATTCAACTGTTTTTGTTTAATAGGTTTTAGTTTTATCATGAATTTATAGTTTATCATTTTAAAATATATAGGTTTTGTTGAATGCTGAATGTTAGATTTGGTTTGGAATTTATAGCTAAATTTATTACTTCTGCTTACAGACTGATTCAATCATTTTTGCATTGAAACTTAACGATCACATGGACATTGACAAACTTAACTTTGCATGTTCTCTTTGTTCAAACTCAAAAATATAAAAAATCATATGCAGACAACACATGCTCTTCACAGAACAGATTAAAATAATATCAATTTAACCTTTTGAATTAAGGTTTTTAACAAATTAATTTTAGTCCTACTAACAATTCTTTCAAATTTTAAAAATTCGTGTTCATGAAAATAATCTAATAAACAAAATGTAAGATGCAACTCTGTACATGCGGATTCATACAACCATGCACCTACGCTGATTCACATGCATTACATCTATACGTTAACGAAAACATACTATGGTCATCTTAATTAATGACCTCTTTATAAATTTATATAAACGTACAACAAAATAAATAGAACAAAAATTATGTACATGAAAAAATAACAGTTTAGACAAATATTAGGAGCTGGTTATAAGATTGGCGTGTTTGGCTGGTTTTATATTTATGATGCGACCGGTGTTTGTTCGTACGACCATAGCTATGTGTTCACCATTCTCATTCTGGACTGACTCCAACATTTCTGCAAAGTTGTGCACCGTCCCTTGCTGTTTGAATATTTATTGGGCAATTGAATTATGCTTGCCCAACGTCAATAAACTGAGTTTATAGAATGTTTGCAATATCTCATACTTAATTGATTCTCTATCATTAAACAAAAATCATAAAGTGTCATAAACTTACAGCATCAGTCATGGTTATGATACTTTTTGATTCGTTCTTTTCGTTTTTTACTTTCATGCCATTGGATGAGTTGTTTGCATCTTCATCTGCATGGTTTTGATCTTCTTTTCGTCTTAAGAATCTTCCACCCTCTCCACGAACTCGATTCATGGCATGTTTGTGCCGTGACTCGTGTAAATACTTCTGTTTGAATCGAAAGTGGTTGAGGGCAATGAATGAACAAAAAAATGACAAGCATTTAATCAATTTTAATCAATTTAGTAATCATTAAAAACATTTGTGAATACTTGAAAAGACAGCACCATATCAACTTTCATTAAAATCTAAAATAAAGCTACTAAATAACCTTTCTTTCTTTTGGTATTTTTCCTAGGGCTTCTAGTTTGGCTCGAGCTTGCCTCCGTTTTAAGATTCGATTATACTGTTTGGCATTTACATAGAGAGGCTGGTCCTTATCATCTTGTATTTCTGGTTCTGGCGTTTCTAATTTCAAGAGCGGAAGACCAGTCGTATTATTACCATTTGGAACCATCTAAACCAAAAATTTTCAACTTTTGTTATATTGTTTATAAAATGAAAATATTTTATAAGTTGAACATATAGAATCAAATAGTTTAGAAGTTTCACAAATAAATTACCATAATCATTTGAGGAGAGTTGTTAGTCCCTGTCTGTAAACTGATGGGTGCACTAGTCAGACTTGTTGCTTGATTCTGAAATAACTGATTAGCAAGTGCAAGCGGCAACTGGATTATTTGCCCTCCTACTTTTTTGAAAAGTTTAGTTTATAAGAAAAATATGAGAACAAATTTCTTTATTCAATTCAACAAGCCAAACTGCCAACCTCCAGGATTTTGAAGTTGAAATGTTTGTATCTGTTGCGGTTGGTGTTGCGTTTCAATTTGTTGAATTGGCTGGTATATTATCGTCTGCCCATTCTGAGTTTGAACTATTTGGCCACCAATTATTTGTTGGGGTGCAGCTGCAGGTTGCTGGATGATTATTTGCTGCAAAAAAACAAAACATTTAAATTAATATTAAATTATATAACAAGTACAGCATAACCACAGTGTACAATTTGATTCATTGCATAGTATAGATACTAGATAGTGTTATCGAGTATGTACTCATGTATAATTTACTACAGAGCACACAGAATAAAAAAATAAATGTAGAAGCACTTGCATGGAATAAAATATTTTACTTAATTCAAAAATTATAAATTTATTAAAAAATAAAAATCTTAAGCAAACTAGAATTAGTTCTGAATTGAAAATAACCTGTCCGTTTTGGGTCTGAATAGTTTGTCCGGGCTGAATGACGACTTGATCAGACATTCCCTGAACAGTTAGCTGAGTTCCATTGGTCAGGATGATCTGACCGTTGCCGTTCGTGACAAACTGGTGGTCCATCGTCAATGTGATGATTTAACTTTAAATTTATTCGTGATAAAACTTGTCGGAAATCTGGAAATCAGTAAAAACAAAGCTTTTAAAATTCTCGTATCAACGAAACCTTTCGTAACAACGGACATCTTGTTTTTGTGAAAATATTACACGTCGAACGAATGATGGCGACGAGTTTTATGTGAATAAAGAGAACGAAGATGAAATAATTTGAGACAGAAGATGAAAAATTTGATTAGAAGAGAGAACGTGCCATCTTGAAAATAATTGGTGGGAGGAATGATTGGCTGGTTCGTGCTCACCTCGATATCAAACAGTCGAACGAATCAACGTACAAACAACACAATTGCATATGCCACCATTGGTGTATCGAACGTCCAATAAGCTTGCCTTCTTGAATATTAACAATCAGCCCGTCGATATTTATTTATCAATCTCGCGGCTTAAACGAATATTAAATATGGAGCGTGAACTCGTCACCATCATACATACATATTTATAAATATTAATATAATAAAAAAATTATAAAAAAAAGATTTGGTCATAAAAATTATACGACTATTAATAAGTAATTTTACGGCCCGAACGAATGTTATAAAATTACTAAATATCACGCCACATAGAACTAGCACGAGTTGTTAAACCAAAAACTATTATTTACGATTAAACAAAGAATTTTAATAAAAATCAGTCAACAAATTTATTTTTAACGTGATGTTTACCATTTAAATTATAACAATTGAACAGCTACTAAAAATTAAGTGCGAGTAAAGAACTTTATATATTAATAACGCGGCTCAGTTTCTGAATCCTATTCAGCAATATGTCGCCCTTTTTTATGGTTTCCTGAAAATTAGAATAAATTAAAATTAAAATACGAGACAATAAAAAGATTCAAAAATTTTGACCTAACATAAACATATGAAATTTTAGCACTGGAATTGCTCTAATCGTATTCAATCCACTAGCATAGAAGCTTTACTATAAGTAAAAGTAGTGTAATATGTAAAAGTAGCGAAAGGTTACTTTTAACAGCACATGAATATTATTGATGGGTGACCCACAGGAGCTATAAATAGAATACAACGACGCAAAAGACACAAGGTCAATGTAAAAGTCCGAGTAACTTATGGTATATACAAAAAAAAAATTATAAAAAAATGGGTATATATAAATTTGCAGCGATAAGGCTTGAAGGTTTTAAGTCACATACTTTTTCCGACTTAACCTCTCAACTTAAATTTCCATGTTAAACATCATGTAGTTGAGAAGTTAATGGACAGAAAAAAATTTCTAAAAAATGTAGCAGCTATAGTCTGTTAAAACCTCACCAACCGAGCACCTACAAAAGGATGCTCCTAACATGCGGCACGCTATTACAATAAACATGCGCACCCCTTAGTCAAGTGAGAATGAATAACTGAATTTCTTTCTTGTAGCGAAAAGGCATTTCAAAACTTTCCCTAAACAACATGATGTTTAGAAATTCTTTTTTTTAAAGATAAAGGTACTTTTTTTTAAAATTGTTAAAGATAAAATATTTAAAAAATTTTATTTGACGGATTCCATCTCCACGAGTCTTTTTCTGGATTGCTGTTGAACCATTACGTATTTTTCATAAGTCTGCCTTTGCTGTTTGTTTACAGTCGTTTTTTTCAGGAACGTTTTATCTCCTTTACAAAGTTCAGTTCAAATCTCAAGACCTACCTCACTGTCCAATTCAAAAGAGAGTGGTATTGAACATCAAAAAAATGGGGCCTCATTATAAAAAAAATTGAATCGACTGAGTAAACTATTCCTAAATTTATTTTCAATATTATTTTTATTTAATATTTAGTAGGGGCAAACTTCTTTGAATACAAAAGCTCACAAAAAATAACGACATTTCTTGAGAGCAGAGAATGTACAAAACCTGATATTGATAATTCTTGCTGTCGGGTCTGTTAGTTTCGACAATTCCACCCACTTTATCAATCTTACAATGCAGCCGGCCGGCAGCTATGAATCTCGAAAGTTCTCTGGAATATATAGAAATAAAAAATGAATAATACTACATTTCAAAATGTATACAATTTAATAACATCAATAAATTTTAAACAAATAAATATTGTCAACTGATAAAATAGATGTACGTTTTTTAAATATTCGAAAAAACCACCAAATTCAAATAAACTCGCTACTGGAAGAACGAAATAATTGATAGTAAGAGCTAACTGATCAATGAATTCCACAGTGACACCAAATGATCTCGCCATGTAGACGAGTGTGAGACTCCTGTAGGACTCAAGCAGTTGAGTGTACGCGATGATACGCATCTCCCTGGCGTAGAAACTGTAGTGGGGCGCCAGGTAGCGATCGTGCTTCAGAATTTGCTCCACTATAGCTATCAAAAAGAAAACAAACAACTCTGAACGTATTAAAATGAAATCGCCAAAGAAGAATGATAAACCATTGTTGTACTGAAAATAATAAAATTATTTCAAACGCTAACGACAGAGTTTTAATCATTCATTATTATTATTATTATTATTATTTATTGGCTGAAGGTTCATTCATTTGCAGTACTGTTATTTTAAACAAAAATTAGCGAAGAACAAAAACGATACGAATGATAATAATTCAAAAGTCAAACAACAACAACATGATAACCAATCATAATCACCACCTTAAAAATTACTTAATTAGAAGATGGAAAGATTTTTTTAAGAAACAAAACTGGTGAAGCAGAAGCTGGAAAAAAGTTTTTAGAAAATGCGGAAGGAAAAATTAACAAAAAATTTTGAAAATTTGATGCTGGATTAATGTAAGAAAAATAGGTTATATAAGGATTATTTAGGCTTTCCATTTGTAAATGTACAGCCCAACTCTTATGTATTAAATGATTCAACAGTGGAAGGAAAAATTTGGCATATCAAGGAAGCTAATTCCACTGATACTAATCCAGTGAACTTTACAAAAAAATAATTTAATTAATTAACTCTACAAATCAGAACTATGAAAACATGCTCAAAATCAGTGGGTAAAAAGAGGAAAGTCAAAAAAATAACATAAAATAACAGTTTTCAATTATTATGTAATGTTTGATCAAATAGCAAACATAATGAAACCAGTGTATAACAAGGATTACAATTTTTTACTCAGTCTAAATGTGAAATGTCACCTTTTTGCATATTAATAAAAATGGCCACATTAATAAAACTTATGAAATATCTAATACAATATAATTGCATTTTGAGCAGTGCTTTGAATTGTAAAGTTTGAAAAACATTGAAAAATGAACCGAGATATTTGAAGAACTCCTTGTACTGGCAGTTGTAGAGTGAGAACAAGTACCTCTGAATGTCAGGCAAGCTGTGAAGGACTTCGAGAATTTCTGAACCTTTGATCACCTGAATATTTATGCATGATTGATAAATTAATTCTGATTTGAATTCTTAGCTAATAAATTTCACAGTTTCACAGCACTTAATTATGCATTCCACAACAAAAGTTGATAGCAAAAGTTTATCACTGAATGAGTGAATTTTGCATCAATCTTGTTTTAAAAATTTCATAAAATATGTGAGATTTTGATGCATTCAATCTAAATGACTCTTTAACACAGCTTAATAAAATACTCTTTCTCTGATTATACAGATTTAAACTTTAAATTTAAATAATGTGCAAGCATCTTTAATCATGATAAATGGGACGACGTTCATATTTCACTATTGTTACTTGTGGGCATCTTTTTTTTGTCCATTATTTAGGCTGTGGTCGATATGATGACAATGTACACTGACGCTCATTGGAGAACCAGGATCCAAGGGACTGCGGTACTCTGTCATACTGAATGACATCCAAAACTGGTTACACACGGATATGTGGAGGAAACTGGAAGAACTTTTTATCAATTAATTCCAGGTGTGCTGATATTGATCTTTAAAAAAGCAGCAAGTGAGGATGCTTTTCGAAGTTACACCTGGAGGTGTAGCTAACGAATATTGAATGCATGTGTTTCCTATTTAGATGGAAAATAAAACTTTAGATAGAGAGGTGGGATGTTGGAGAAGATTTCTAGAGAACTCAACATCAAGTTCACCACCTTCTTGATCAATTCCTGCAACCAAATTGTAAAACATTTAGAAACATCCTTATCTGACAGCATTTAGCCATTATAAAAACACTGGTCATCACTCTTTGCCCTGATGTATGTTTTTTCAGCAACAGGCTAACAGCAAGCAAATCAACATTTTAAAGTGATTCACAATTTGAAATGATTCAAATTCTGAAATGATTCTGACAAGTTTGCTGCCTTTGCTGGCAAAAATAAGATCCCAAATTTTGTTAATTTACATTCAATTTTTCTGACAACTTGTCAAGAACTGTCAACCATTGGTCTGAACCACAAAAGAAGCAGTAACTTACACTTAATGTAACCTATTCATTATCAAGGTGTGTTTGTTGCAACTTATAAATTAGGCGTGGTCTAATTATTCATTATTCCATTGAAGAGAAGTTAAGGTCAGTCATAAAAAGTCATCAATAAAAACAATAAATTTGAGTGAAGAAAAAAAAGTATAAGCTAATTCCAACTTTACATTTGAAACAGAATAATAAACATATTTTTACATGTACAAAGTAATTATGATAACATATCAATAATAATACGCAAATATATTAATAGATATATCTATAATAGATATAGATGATGGATACTTGATGACATTCCTATTTATTCATGATATAAACCTTTTCCCTCTGCTGAGGCCTGGCCAGTGCAATCATGCAGCAGAAAACAGTGTAAGTCACAAACGTCTTGTAGTCCATCAACTCATAAGAGGTGAAGGTAGCAACTGTATCTAAGAATAAACTGGCAGCCATCTTGAAATCTCTAACAGCCATGCAGTACGTCCCTCTGTAGACTTTCAAACGATTCCGTCTGTCCCAATCTCCACCCTGGTCGATGAGGCTGCAGAGTTCAATGGTGGGTACAATCATCAACAACAATAACAACAACAACATCATAAGCAGTTTCATTAAGATGAACATTACTAATGTAAATATTATTAATGTGATTTACGATCTCATTATCAACATCATCACCAAATCAAGTTATAAATATCACCAAACTAGCATTAGGTGTAGAAAATCTTAAAAATGTTGCATTTGCATAATTCAGGTCTTTTTATTTTTCAGAATGCCTTAGAAAGCATCTACAAATATTATCATAATATGCATGGTGGAATGAAACTGCTGCAATTAATTTATTCTGATGGGACAACATACACTTTTTTTATACATCAAACATCATTTAATTCTTTAAGAATATTCTTTAGTGTAAACACTTGGTTTCAAAATAATAAAAACTAGAAAAAAATCATGCAAAATTGGACAATGACCTTTGAGCTTTTTCAAAACTTCTTTTGATCAAATCATGATCCATGTAGAAGAGACCAATCCTGATCTGGTGGAATTCCATGTCCAATCTATAACCCAGTGTCAATGTCTTCTCTCCAACTTTCCTAAACTGACTCAATGCCAATTCCTTATGCAAAAATTTTGAAAAAACTCAATATAAAACATAATTTTTCATTTGCTATTTTTCAATGTTTTTATTAAAATTTGACAATTTAAAATTTACTGACAAATTATCAGTGTACACAAAGCTTAGTTAAATCAACAACCAATAAACTATTTTTAAAGCAAAAAAAGCCGACCTTTGCGCCAATGGAACTGTAATATTCAGCTTTTTTAAGCATGATGTCCCTGATTTCCATCTCTCCTTGATTTTTTTCTGCATCTTCCAATGAATCATCGAGTTCTTTTAGCTTTTTTTCATTCTCACTTTTCATGTGTTCCAGTAGGTTTGTGTCCAACTTCCACTGCAAATCAGCGCAAAGCTCTTCATAGAATGGTGCCATGTCTTTGAGAAAATAATTTCATATTTCAATGTAATTTAAAATTTTAATCTAATAATTACAGTTAAACTTAAAAAAAAACTAAACTGAAATTAAAGTATAACCCCATAAATTTACTAGATGACTAGAAAAAATGACGAATGAGTTTATTCAATTTCAATATGAATATAGTTCTATAATAATTTCACTAAGCAGTTTAACGGCTTTCATAGTTAGATTTTAATTTTAAATTATTATTCAAGGTCAGTAATTGAATAAATTTAAATTTTCAAGTAAATAAATTTATTTTAATTAAATTATTAAAATTATACTCATTTATTGTTTTTATTCATTATTGATTTATTCCTTTTGTATTTTTTTAAATTTAAAACACTTTTTATTATGCTGAGGCAAATGAAATGAATAATAATACTTAATAGCAATTTATTTTTTTATTAATCATAATGAAATGACATAATTATATTGAAATAGGAATGGAAATAAAAAAATAAGTTTTAAATTTAAATTTTTTTAAAATATAAATATAAAAATATGACAAAGCAATTTTCTAACTTCCATCTTTAACGGCCTGTAATAAATCATTTTTAATTTTTGAATTGTTTTTGTAATTGTCCGTCTGTAGCAAAAACTTCCACTGGGCCAACTCCAGATTTGGATTCTTGGCCAGTCCCTCTTCTTCGAAATTCTCGACCGGCATATTTTATTTTGTTCAAATAGTGTTATAACACAAAACAGCACAATTGAAAAGTGAATCTTAGTATTATTTTTGCAAATTAGGGTAATTTTTTCTACAAAAATAAAAATAATTTACAAATATACTTAATTAATTTGGAATTAAATTTTTAAAATTTAAAAATATTATAAAATAATATTTTTATAAGTCGCATTTATTTCGTTTCTACTTCTTCTGGAAGAGGGCATCATTGAATTATATAATTCATTGAGTATCATTGAGTTATATAATTCCATGGAGGGCACCTAGGTATTCTTTTTATATTTTTTTTTTCAATTCAATCAATTAGCTTATAAAGCGCTATTTCCGCGATGTTCAACAGCGCTCCTCAATGAATTTTGAAAACAGATGGGTCTTGAGATCCGCTCTGAACTTCGCAAGTGATGGAGAAGTAGTCAGAGAAGTAGGTAGAGAGTTCCAGAGAAAAGGACCAGAAAAAGCAAAAGCAGATTTGGCAAAAGAGTGTTTAACACGAGTTAAGAAAAATCGAGAAGAAGAAGACGATCGTAAACCGGGGCGTTTAGGTTCAATTAATATATCTGATAAATACTTAGGAAATAATTTAGATTGAGACTTATACATGAACGTGCAAATTTTAAAAACTATTCTATATTTTATAGGTAGCCAGTGCAAGAGAACAAGATATGGAGATATATGAGAAAAGAAAGGGGCACGAACAACTAGACGAGCAGCAGAGTTAAAAGCTTTACTTAAAGGATAGAGTATAGTCAGGAAGACCATAGTAGAGCGAGTTACAATAATCAATCCTAGATAAGACTAACAAAGTAACAAGAAGGAGAAGAGTAGGATCATTAAGAAAAGGCAAAAGTTTTTTTATTCTACGTAGATGAAAGTAAGAGCTTCTAGCAACACTATTAATCTGAGAAGAGAGAGACATAGTAGAATCAAAGATAAAACCTAGACTACGAAACTTATGAGAGACATCAAGAGTTTTAGAATCAGGTAATATAATA